TATACCTACCTATGCCACATGACATGGCAGGTACATCATACCTGGTAACTATTATTATACAGTTTTGATGACTGAACACGTGGTTACTCGAATTAATCGCGGTCGACCCGGTCAGGTGTACGACGACGGTGTTATTATAATTCTACGGGTTGGCGTACCCGTGCGTTTTCCCGGACAAGAAAATGCTCACGAATAATTTGATTTGGAAAATTTCCGTCGAATTATATTATTATTATTATTATTATTATTATTATTTGTACGTTGGCGTTTAGCGTCGTCACGTATTATCATGTTTATGTCGTGACAAATATTTATCTATAAGATTCGAATGTCCTCATTGCGTTTTGACATATATATTATTATATTAGCGCATGGTAGAGAATGATATAATAATTACAGGAACGTCAAATACGTAATTCGAACTAGATTTTAGATTTTACGATCATTGTGTTTATCGAGCCGTACGTTGGAAAATAGCTTAACGTGATCGTTTTATAAATTTATAATTAAATTACGACTTTCGTGAGCAAATTCCCTCGCGAATATCGATAAAATATTATATGACTTAAACCGCCAGGCGTGTGCACAGTTTAATAATATTACTTGTGTCTATGCTCCACTTATAACTCCACTACCCTCGAATCCTGCGAATCGAAGTCAATGTGCATGTGAAAATCCCTCTGTTTATCAATTTACTTAGTCACGTTACGTCTGTTGTCGTTTGACTTGAACGCAAAGCTTTTTCGAACAACCTGTGGTGCATGACCATGTGATTTTTAGTTTAGATTTTTTTCATTCCAAATCGCTTTGCACGATATATAATTTATTGATTTTATCAGTCTCAAGTATTAACTGCAGTAGAGGTGTCGCCGAGCACATTTATTTACAAAGATATTATTTTTAATTCACAGACAAGACGACTTAGACAAGCTACTTTATTTTTATTATTTGATTTTGGTTTTTCTCGTTACAGTGTCAATTTCCTTACATTCAAATATTATCATCATCATCGTCACCAGATTTAGCTGACTCTATTTGGTCGTATCAGGTACTTATAAAGTTTTTACTACACATCAACAGCTAGTTGTCACAACTTACAACTCTTCCAAATGTTATATTTTTAAAAGTTTTCCTTTTTGTGTGGGTATCCCAATATTTCACTCGTCAATATCCTCTTTCAGGATTCGCAAAAATATATCATTATTGATATTTTGTTTTGTTTGATCGCCTTTAAAATAATTATTATATTTAGTTACTTACTTGACATTTTTGTCTTTGGTCTCTGCGTGTCTATTATAGAAAATTGTATACTATGGTCTTTAATCGTTTTAGTTTAGTCAATTATCTGTCACAGTTGAGAATACTATCGGGCTTATTTTTAATGATATAACCATTAATTTTTACGGTTGGCCATCTCTGCAGCCATTTTCTGTTAGGTAAGTATTTTTAGAAACGTTCTATAGGATAAAAACTAAAAGTATATTTTGGGCATAATTTATGTAGTTCAGTGCTTTGTTGTGGACTCTTAGCTATGCTAACTGCGGTTTTACAGTTCTAACTATTTTTCAGAGTGTTTCTCTAAAATAGTTATCCGTTTAATTTCAATGACTAATGTATAATAATTATAATCGTTTATAAGTCATAACAAATTAACAACATTTCTAATATTATTATCCTAATTGATATGACAAATTATCAATCGCGTCATTGTTCCTGTTTAGTGTGATTTGTATAATGTCTCCAGAAATCAGAATCAACATATTGCGTTTAATAAATCATTTAAATAGTAAAACACAATAGGTACTAAAGAAAAAACAAAAATAAATGAATTCTTCTTTGATGTAAAAAAGAAAAAATCTATTGGTTTTGTAAGTCTGAAAAGATGTAACTCGTTATAAAATAAATACCTATTCAATATTATGATAAGAGTATACATCAGCAATAAGAATTGCATAAGAATTATGTCATGTTTATAGTTGAGAATTATTTTACAATTTATCCAAACAAATAACTGTTTGGTATTTTTTTTTTTTTTGCAATAATTTTAAGCATAAAAGTGTACATCGGGGATTTTTACAACTTATTGTTTTGGTTACGCAAACTACCTATATCCATGTTTGTTTTGTGACACAATAATCTGGTTTTCAAATAGTTTACATTTTTGAGGTTTGTTATTTTTACGTTACTTCCTTAATTGCAGTACCTATATAAAAACAAATTCTAAATACTACTTTTATAGGTAATCATTATTAGTTTTATATTATTTAACTATTTAGCGCAAATTAAATTGCACTGAACCGAATGATGAGTAATAATATGTATTGTGTGTGTTCCAAAACGGAAACTAATCTATGTAGAATTAAGGCCATCAGTTCTGGGCAGGAAATACACTTTGAGTGACTAAAATACCGACGAAACGTTTTTATTTTTAAATTACATAACTATATTGATAAAAATAATGTAAAGAATCGTAGATTAGTTTCCGTTTCAGAAATATTACATAAACGTTTTAACAATTATTTCTTAAAATGTCATAGATCATAATTTACTGTTAATACGATAATACATGTCTTGACGGTGCTATAGAAAATAGTATTAAGAAGTAATAAGTAACAACCATATGTATATGTATTTAATAAATTAATGCTATAAGTGAAGTTTGATGCAGAGGTGACTCTTAAAGCAATTTATGAAATCTAAACATATTCAAATTTAAATTTATTTTAGTTGACCTAAGTGACACAGCCCAAATTATGTAACTCTTGTTTCTTATTTTATTGTTAAAATTTCAACATACTAATATTAATAATCATCTATTGTAGATATACTTAGAGGAAGTTTCAAGTTATAGCGATTATTGTTATTATTTTTTTTTTTTTTATCGTGTAAGACTTGGTTTGATTTTAGAATTCACATTATTGAATTCAAAAGGTTATAAGTATAACTAAAATCAAAGTAAGCTCATCCTGTTAGTTTCTTAACCAACGTATTTTTTAGAAAAAGTTCATACACAATGACTGTATGATTATTGAAATAATTTTCAAACGTACGTTTAATCGCATTCGTTCTGCATACAGAACAAAACGTTATTTTCGATTTGACAATTGAAAATCTAAGTCGTTATTCAACCGAATGTGTATTGAGTTGTAAAGATGAATTCACCTCCAACTTTTGAATTCGTTTCGTTGTGTTATCGAGCCAGCAATGCACATAAAATGTTTTATATTATGTCGTGTAAGAAAATATCAAAATAATATTTTAAGAATAACAATAAATTGAAAGATATATAATACAATAAAATAAAACCCACATAGTGCCTCATTGCTTTCATCGACTGCAACACTAAATTAAATAAATAAAAAGGACCTACACACAGTAATAATGTATATAGGTATAAGTCGTCTGACTTTAGGCGAACGTCATAAAATCAAAACAATTTGTCTCTACCGGAACAACCGCTACCGGTTCAATGCGATTTTCTTTATATAGAATAAAAATGAAAAATTGTTTTTACCAATTCCTTTCTATACGTACGCACTATAAGTCATATATATATATTATATATGTATTCAATTTTCTAGATTTATTCAAATAGTTTTTAGAAATAATCATTGTTTAAGTACAATATTGGCCGCGTGGATAGAATTGCCAAATTCTTTCGAATAAACTGTCTCCACGTCACAAAAATGTCGCACGTGTCGAATGTAGTAAAAATTGAAACCGTCGGCTAACAATTTCGACTTTTACGAAATAAATTCGGTATAAAAACAGCAACAAAAAAAAAGGAATTGTAATTGTAAGGCAGACGCCATTTGGTTGGAAAAAAATTAACGTTTTGCCATGACAATATTTTATTCAGAACTATTATACTACCTACGGGTAGGTACACAATAATTATTATTTGAACGAAAGTGTACGTCTTGTCGTTTTGGTCTGCGATTTTTAAATGATAGACACAAAACTGAAAAGAAATCCTAATCCGACGCAACGACCTGTGAACACAATTACAGATGAAGAATCGCCAATATAACGACTTCAGATATTATAATTTTCTCTCCGGATTAAACTGTAATAGTATTATACCTATCACTTGTATGTCTTACAATAATGTCACGAAAATGGCGATCTCGATGTCTCAATATTATTGTCTCAGTTTGTAAACTTACCACAAATTAGTTCGGCAACATTCGTGTATATTATATGTTAACATTTTAAAATTGTTAACTGTACAACGTTTTCATAATTGTAAATTTAACGTTCACTACACATTGCGATCGTAGTAAACCGTAGTAAGTCGATATTAAATCTAAACTTGGGAACAATATTATCGACAGCAAAATGTTCACTCTTTCCTCGTTTGCTCAATTCTCGCATATGGTCAAATGACATAAAAAAAATAACATACATAAAATTATATACAGTCGTATAACTCGCCTATGAGTAATAGGACGTTTATCAATGCATATAATAACAAACAAATTTTTTTTTTAAACCGATTTCGACACATCGTTAAGTCATGACGGATGCTTGGGTCACATAAACCACGTAAAGTATAACCTAACCTACCCGCATTTATTTTAGGTTTTTGGCGTTTTGTTTTTTTTTGTTTTTTTTTTTGCGACTCCGTGGTATCGTTAAACCTCAACTCCCGCGGTCAACAGGAGTATGAATAATATTACTGCACGTACGTTAAGCGGAAAACGGCAATTTCCGTTGAGCGTGTGAATTATATGAAATAATTAGCGAAAGTTTCCCAAGACTTGTGTGTAAATGGATTACATCGCGTCCTGCAGGAAACGTATACGTCTCCAGCGAAAAACTCGTAAGCATAATTATGTCATGACGTGCGTACGAGCTAGTCGTAAGTGATGATATTTTTACCCCGTTCGACGAGTGCCGGCCCTAAAGACTTGCGAACAGGCGGGTAGTCAGTTTTTGCCGCTCCGGCGGCGACGCTTAGCGATTTAATTGTTTTTTTATTTATTTCAAAACAAACTCACCTTGCGAATGCACCATTTGCTGGAGGATGGCGAGCAGGGTGTATATCATGTCCACTGGTTTCAACATGATTCGGGGAAGAACTCGCGTGAGACTGAGTGGAGATAGAAACCGCCGGACGCGCCCGAATTTCCCTCCCCCGGTGGGCCGCAACGATACGTGTGTTTACCTAGCGGTGTCGGGTAATCGCATTTTCAAAAAACGCGTAGAAAACTTCAATAGGACCGACCGATCGACGAGAGAATTAAACGCAAACGCGTCGTCGGTCCGCTCGGCAGTACTACGATTGATTTGTGTGTGACAATAAATTAACGTTATTAACTTGTATATTGTTTTATTTTTTTTTTTTTTGGCAAACGGCCACCACTATTTGTTTACGACTAAACCGCTAAAAAACCGTTAAGTTCCTCGGTGGCAGATCGGCGACCACCACCACCACTTTCACCTTCACGCCCGCGACGTGCGGCAGAAAGCGAAAAACCAAGCGACGTAAGGTTCAATGTCGTCGTCATAATGATTCCCCCCCCCCTCCACGTCGAAGATTAATTCGGCCCAACTGTGCGGTTTTACATGTTTTGGAAGTCGGACGATGTTGAACCGTATAAATCGGTAACCGGACAATTAACACGTATATAATATTATTATCATTGTCGTATGGTATGCGAAATAGGTATTATATGCGATTTGTTTGATCTGATTGCGGTCTGGGACGGTGCGAAGAAGCTATGATATTATTTATTGATTTCATCAGTCCATTCAAACACTAATACAGTACAACGGTGCAGACATTATAATATTTTCATAATAAACAATTAATGTAGAATTCATATGGCCGTACTGCAGTTTGAAAGTATGTATTCACTATGTGTGTACCTGCAGGTATTTATTCGAATTTTGCATACCGCTTAAATCCAAATTGTATTGAGTACTTTTAGTTTATAACCCTCAAACACAGGAATCGATTCTTACATTTAACGTTCTGAAAGTTGAATTAAGTTACACGTGATAAGTGTTGTAGCACGATTGGTACTGTACACCTGTACGTTTCAGTACATTTTATAATATTTCGTAAAATGTTTAAAATAATACAAAATTTTAATTTAAAATTATTCGAAAAATGTCCAAGAAATTTATTTCAGAGGAAAAAATACTAAACACGTGTAAACTAAAATAGCTTCAATACAAAACTCCGAAAAGGAAATTACCTGTTTTTAAATTATGCGAGTTATAGTTATATTTTAAAAACGTTCATTGGCATTAAGATTCAAATTTATATGATTCATTTTTCTAAAATAATAGCCCTGCGTGCGCATTTGTTATTTTTTCGTACTATAGGCTCAACAGCATTGTGGATTTTCCTGTTTTTAATGTTTTCGTTGTAACGGATATTATTAAAAATATATTTTTTCATAAACCAAGATGTATTGTTTATTATTACAAGACATCCATTAAAATTAAATCGTAGTTTTAATAATGTATGATGGTAATATAGTATTTTTTTTAATATAAATCGCACGTGCTGCTACAATATTAGTTCTGTAAAAAATTATTAAATCCTGTATAAAAAATTGAACGTTATACATATTTATCTTATTAGTTTACGACTATTCATACATTTATTTACGACAACCAAATTTATAACACTAAGTCACTAGCTGTTGGGTCTGATAGATTTATATAGATTTATACCACTCACCTAAAAAACACATCATTTATTATACCCTTTAAATCACAAAGTTAACACAAGATATGCTGCTAATAACCATTCGCTGAAATTCCCCCAAAAAAACGGGATGTCGTAAAATGCATGATTTCATTAGGACACAAATACATAACATAATGCCCAAATAAGCGGCTAATATGTGACTTCCGATGTTTAAAAAAAACATTACCCATTGGCTTCTCCATAAATGCGATGCTTCAATATTTGAATATCATGATTAATTATCAATTAATTTACAGCGTGCATTTCCATTTCCTATTTTGTTTTTCATACAACTTGTTTGATTGTTTTTGATGTTTAAATTCGTAATATGGAATTTCTGATTTTAGATTATATTGTGTAATTTTAGTTTAGGAGGTAAAAATAAGAAAAATGTAAACATGTTATTATACAAAAGATAACTTCCGGGCCTCCACACGAGTTTAAAACTCAATGAGGCCTAGTAATCTTTACTGCTTTTAAATAAAATAAAAAATAAATAATATATTAATCTAGCCTCACCTGATATATTATTATTAATAATAATATCGAATAAACTCGGAATCTTCGATACTTATAATGTTATTATAACGCACTAGTTTACCATGTTATGTCATGTTCTCATCACAAATCGTTCATTGTCATAACAATAATATACCTACTAATGATATTTTCATCATTTTGTCCTAGTTTTACACAAAGATCTATGCAATAGTTAAGTCAAACACACAGAGTAGTAATATAAATAATTGTCGAGTTCGGGACAAGAGTAATTTTCTTGTTTTTAACTTTCACTTAATCTTCAGTCTGTGTGCTCGTGTTAATTTTAAGTTGCTCTATAATTAAATCAACCATTCTATTCAAAATTTAACGTTAAAAAAGTCTGTGATTTCTTCCTTTTGGCGTGTACTGTTTATGTAGGTATTTGTTTTAATAAATTACGTAGAATTTCGTAAATTTAAATCATTGTTCTCAAATATTGTATTGATGCCAAAACTCAAAGCGTGCAATAGAAAATAGCCACAAAACAAATCCGCGAACTATCGTAGGTAAAATTACTGTTTTGTAAAATACATTTTATTATTTAAATCATTTTTGATTTTAATTATTTATCATATCTACAGATGCCATACCATTTGTTAAACGCTATTCATTTAACTGATTCAAATTCGTTAAAAATATACATTGATGTACCTACGTTTTCCCAAGGGCTAATAAAACGAAACATAATCACACGTTCGAATTCACATTATTGTGTTGCATACAAATAATTAAATAAATGGCTATATCGCGGTTTTATTATTTTTTAGTGTCGATGCTTGGATTACGACATCAACCCCTTCGCATACATGATGATTCGCCAAACTGTTCACCCCTGTAATATTTTCCTTTTAGTAATGAATTACTAAATTCTGATTTTTGGAATTTTTAAATACATACATAATAATATATTTAAAGACCTTGATCTTAATTTACTTAAATTGATTTTACTGCTTAAGGAGTGATCAATGTAGAAGACCACTATAGCAGTGATACTTGTAACTTCTGTTTTTCAAATGAGATCCCCTTTTTTATTGTAAATATTATTAGGTGGATATTTTTTTTTTAAATGTTGATGTTCCTAATTCAAAACTCGAACGGGTAGTGTATCAGTTATTTAAATTTGTATACTGAGGATGATAAATTGTTCTAAAATATGGTTGAACAAAAATATAAAATACAATATAATATAATATTGAATATAGTATTTGTTATACTTGGGCCATTTTTACTGATTATAAATGTTGATGGATGAATATTGATTGCAAAAATGTTGAAATCGTCATAGCTCCTATATATATGCAAACCCATTATCGCGGACCTATTATTCTTAGAAAACAGAATTAAATAACTCAAAAACTACCCGTTCGTATTTTGATTTTGATATAGGTATTTCAACATTTTCAGAAAAATTATCCGCTTAATAATTTACAATATAAAAATGATGTTCTGATTTTAAAAACAAAAGTTTGTATATCTACAGAACATTCCTCCAATTGCAAAAATATCGCAAGAATTTTGAAGAAAAAAGGGGGTTAGCATAACCGGTGAGTCGCCCTGTACAGTAATTTAACTCTTGCTGTAACTACTATTTATTTTTCCCCACACTCGTAGTCGTATAGGTTCATAGATAAACAGTATGTCCGAAATTCCAATTATAGTCTTTAATATTGATAACTGTGATCGACCTCTGAAGGATTTTTGGTTTTACAAAATTGTCGCGTACCGGGTGAATCATATAAATCGTCAGTCGATCATATCTGTCAACGCGTCCCAATGCTCGTCGATATATTATACTGTATAATAATAATAATAATGAAAAATCATAACACTATTACGTGACTTGGTGGCTGAAACTAACGCGATAACACGCGAAAAATATTAACCTTGAATCAAAAAAAAATAGGTACACGTTTCGCTCTTGACCGACAAAACGCATTATCATAATGATATTATTGGCAATCGGTAGTCAGGTTACGGTTTGGTAGTAGATGAATCCGAGATAATTAAAAAAAAACTGTAATTTTTTCTCGATATTTACGATATCTCTACGAACTCACGTTATACAAAGTATATTATTATATCATACAGTCTGTTTATTATAGCTCATACAATGTAATATACGACCTATATATTATATTAGACTTTGTACATCTCGGCTATACTTATATTCATCTCAAAATACATAATACACTTGTAAAAATATTAATGTAACATTATTATAATAAAAATTAATATTATTGTATATTATAATATACAATGAGTGCCGATTTGAGGAAAACGTCTAAACGTTCTAACTGGCCGCATTAAACGTAATTATGTATATACACAGGATGTCCCTCGAAGATTGAATCCCATTGCCATTTCTCCTGAGATAGTAAATACATCGTAAATATGTTTTTCTATTAGGCTCGCGGAGACAAGGACTGCATTTATTTTATTTTTTAATTCAATTACCTAGATTATTTGGCGAAAAGGTTAAAAAGATTCTTTTTTTTCTCCCTGAAACAATTGAAGATATCCATTTTGTACGGTTTATTTTTCTGAACATTTTGATCTTTCAACAATTTATTTTCATTAATTTCATGATTCTTAATCATTTTTTTGCTTTATAGGTAAAATGGTAAAAAAAAACCGGTTGTGTTGCTAGTCCCTCTCTACGACTCAAGGGTATATCCTCATAGGACACTCTGTATATAATATATATGACCAATAAAATTCGTGGGATCAAATACAGTTTAAAAATTAAAATTTCAAAGTCCAAAATATTATTGTTTTAGAGACCGAAACTGTTTTATACAAGCACTTTGTACACCCAAAATATCGATTTGTATCCAAAATATATTATTTTTTCAAAAATACACATTACACAGTTCTACGATGTGAGTTCTTATGTAAACTATATTTTAAGTCGTCATGCCAAAGAAGATGTTGATTTTTGAACTTTAAAAAAATATGTTTGGTTGTTTATTTGCTCAACGCTTGCTTTTATCTACAAACATCAAACGCAGATAAATGTTTAAGAATATTTAAATAATATTCTATACATAAAACTCCTTTAGTATAACGAATTTCGTATTTAGCAATTCAAATAGAAAAAGCAAATTATAAGGTCGGTATGCTAATT